TGCTCACTTACACTGTGCTAGAGAAATGCAGTCTGGCAATGAGATGCGCATTGGAACCAGTGAGGATAATTCTCCATTGTGATCCATGGGCTGGATTCTCTAGCACTGGAAATATTAAAATCAAGGTTGGCTTGAGCTCTAAGAGTTTGGCTTGAGCTGACATGAATGAATGCATTCAGGGAAGTTTTCTGATCAGTGTTACTCAGGGGATCATGCTACATGATCCCAGGACTTACTTTTGCCTTGATAATCTAGGAGTCCATGTTTCAATCAAAAGACAGGACTATGCAGCACTTTAAAGACTAACGAGATGGATTATTAGGTGATGAGTTTTCGTGGGCCAGACCCACTCGCCATCTTGTTAGTCTTTAAAGTGCTGCATAGTCCTGTCTTTTGTTTCAGCTAAACCAGACTAACACGGCTACATCTCTATTACAGACAGTCCCTGGGCTACGTACAAGATAGGGACTGTAGGTTTGTTCTTAAGTTGAATTTGTATGTAAGTCGGAACTGGTACATATTGTAGGGGAAACTCTAGCCAAACATTTCTCCAGAGCTCAGTTTTATTCTCCCACACCTCACTTCTCTCATTCCTTTATTCTCAAGCTGAGGTGTCTGCTGAGAAAAGCCGCTTTGCGTCTGCCTGGTCTGCTGGGGGGGGTGCTAGCTCCGCGTCTCCCTGGTCTGCTGGGGGCGGGGTGCTAGCTCCGCGTCTCCCTGGTCTGCTGAGGGGGGCACTAGCTTCGCGTCTCCCTAGTCTGCTGGGGGGAAGCAGCTAGTGCGGGGTTGCCTCACCCCGTTTGTAAGTAGGGATCCGCTGTAAGTCGGATCCATGTAACCCGGGGACTGCCTGTACTATGTTTCAATCAGGTTTCCTTCTTGCCACTTGCTGTGATGAATTCCTGACTTACATTTTTAATGTAAGCACCTACTTAAAAGCATGCAGTTGCTTCTAACAGCTACTCCGGTTTAATGCAAGATGTGTGAAGTGCCCAGCTGGGCTGCATATTATTTGCAGAACTACAGCAAACAGAAGGAGAAGGCCTGTTACACCGTCTAGTCTGCCTCTCTGCTATTGGAGACTTGTTCCCTTTTCCACTGTCTGCTCCCAAGTGCTTTGTCCTGTCCATTTAAAAATACCTTTATTTTTGTGGTGTTACTTCTGCTGCTTTTCTCATGGCAAGGGCTCTCAAACCGGGGGTCTTGGCCAGGTGTCAGGACCACGCTGCCCTTCTTACAGGTCTAAGTGGGAGGAGGGCCCAGGTTGGACTGTAGAATGGAAAAGGGTAAGAACTCTGTTTAGGATCTTGTTGTAGAGTCTAACAGACTGGCTGCAGCCCTTTGTGGCACCCCAAATGATTCTTCTCCTAGCTTGGCGTTTATAGCCTTCAGGTGAATCATAGAATCATAAGGTTGGAAAAGACTCCAGGAGGTCATCGAGTCCAGCCCCCTGCCCAGACCCCAACTCAGTCCCAGCCAGGGCTTTGTCAAGAAGGGATTTAACAACCTCTAGGGAAGGAGATTCCACCCCCTCCCTAGGGAACCCATTCCAGTGCTTCACCACCCGCCTAGGGAAATAGATTTTCATAATATCCAACTTAGACTTCCCCCACTGTAACTTGGGACCATTGCTCCGTGTTCTGCCATCCGTCACTACTGTGAACAGCCTCACTCCATCTTCTCTGGAACCTCCCTTCAGGAAGTTGAAGGCTGCTAGCAAATCCTCCTTCACTCTTCTCTTCTGCAGACTAAGGGTATGTCTACACTGCAGCGTTTTGAAGAAGAGGGTCAAAATTCAAAATGATCTGGACAAACTAGAGTAAACAGGATGAAGTTTAATAAGGACAAATGCAAAGTGCTCCACTTCGGAAGGAACAATCAGTTTCACACATACAGAATGGGAAGTGATTTTCTAGGAAGGAGTACTGCCGAAAAGGATTTAGGAGTCATAGTAGATGACAAGTTAAACATGAGTCAACAGTGTGACACTTGCAAAAAATAGCAAACATGATTCTGGGATGTATTAATAGGAGTATTGTGAGCAAGACATGAGAAGTCATTCTTCCGCTCTGCTCTACTCTGCGCTGATCAGGCCTCAGTTTTGTGTCTTGTTCTGGGCACTACATTTCAAGAAAGCTGTGGAGAAGTTGGAGAAGATTCAGAGAAGAACAAGAAAAATGATTAAAGGTCTAGAAAACATGACCTATGAGGGAAGACTGAAAGAACTAGACTTTAGTTTGGAAAAAAGAAGACTGAGAGGTGACATGATAGTGGTTTTCAAATATCTAAAAGGGTGTTATAAGGAGGAGGGAGAAAAATTATTCTCCTTGGCCTCTGAGAACAGGACAAGAAGTAGTGGGCTTAAATTGCAGCAAGGGAGGTTTAGGTTGGACATCAGAAAAAACTTCCTAACTCTCAGAATGGTTAAACACTGGAATAAATTGCCATGGGGTGTTGTGGAATCTCAGGGATGATTTAGACAGTGCTTGGTTCTGCCGTGACTGCAGGGTTCTGGACTCAATGACCTCTCAAGGTCCCTTCCAGTTCTTTTGCTCTATGAAATGCCAGCTATACTCCTCTGCCATGTATATTGGCCAAAGTGGACAGTTTCTATGGGAAAGATTTAATAGATACAAATCAGATATCTGAAAAGGCAACACACAGAAACCTGTTGAAGAACACTTTAACCTAGCACTCATTAATGGATCTCAAAGTGATTGTGTTGTCTCAGGCCAGTGCCATAAGCCAAATACACTTAACTTCATTTATAAGTTTGGGGCCCATCACAAAGGTATGAATAAAGACATTACTTGGCTAGCACACTCCTAATGACTTAAAAAAACAAACAAAATGGGAACTTAAGAGCAATTTGCACCTTCTCTATCAGCTTCATGTAACATGAACATTCTAATTCACTATTTTTTCCATTCCTTATTCCTCTCCCCCTCTCCCTCCCCCCATCCCCTATTTATTTTGGAATTGGACTTTTAATACTCCACTCATCTGAAGAAGTGGATTGTACCCACAAAAGCTCATGATACCATCTACATGTTTCGTTAGTCTTTAAGGTGCTGCTAGGCCACTGGTTGTTTTTTAAAGTTTTCTCAGGGCTTAGGTCACTATCCCCCAAAGAACCTACTTTAAAGCCCTCCTCACTAGGTTTACAAGTCTTCCTGTGGAGATGTTCTTCCCTCTGTTCGTTAGGTGGATCCCATCACTTCCTAGCAATCCTTGTGCCCAGAAAAGCATCCCATAGTTGAAGACACCAAAGCCCTCTCTCTGACACCACCTGTGAATGTGGTGAGTTCTCTCTTCTCCTCTAAGCTGTCACAGGTCTGAACTATTCCTATGCAGGGTGACTAATCTTTTGTCATATGTTGCTCCAAACCCTTAAACCAGGGTTTTCCAACCTATGGGTCAGGACCCAAATATGGGTCGCCATTACATTTCAAAAGGGCTGCCAAGTGGCTCTACCCTCCCTCTTCCCCCCCATTTTTTAATTGCCTTGGGTCACCAAGTCTTTCTGAATTGTCAGAATGGGTCCCCATCTGGAAAAGGTTGGGAACTGCTGCCTTAAATCCTTTATTTTTCCCCCTGAATTCCTTCCAGTTTGTTGTCATATTTATGGCATTGAGGAGCCTAGAACTCAATGTAGCTCCGGCCCTACTGCACTACTGCACAACCTAGAACTCAATGTAGCTCCGGCCCTACTGCAGCGTAAGGCAAGGTCTCCTTGGTCTACTCATAAAAGCCCATAGATCAGTGCTGGAAAATTAAGCAGAGGGACATAGTGATAATCACTCCTTGGATTTAACTGCCCCATCTTTCCCATTGTTGTTCAGTCTGATCAGTGAATACGTTGTGTTATTTAGAAGCTACAATAAGACTATAACAGGGCTCAAAAAGTTGTAGATAAGTTCATGGAGGAGAGGCCCTTCAATGGCTGCTAGCCAGGCTGGGCACGGATGATGTTTCTAGTTTCTGTTTGCCAGATGCTGGGAGAGGGATCACTTGATGATGACCCTCAGAGGCATCTGCCACTTTCCACTGTCAGAAGACAGGATACGGGGCTAGATGACCCAGTATGGCCGTTCTTCTGGCCCCTCATTCTCTGTGGCCTCCAGGCATCCTAACCCCAAACCCACAATGATGGGTTGTCCACTGGAATGCTGCCTGAGGATTCAATAATGACTGGAGGAGAAAGTGGGGTGGCTAGTGGTTTGTCAAGAAGTGAGACCGGGTTGAGAACGTCGTGCGACACAGGGTTGGTCCTTGCCCCAGCAGGCTCACAGCCAGACACAGATTAGACACGCTGGGAGACTGGGTAGTCAGTGAACCAGCTATTCTTTTAGCACTGGGTACAGAGGCCATGCGGAGTCAGTGTTTGTGGATTTTGTGATGAGCTGAGCGGCTCTCCTGTGAGGAACTGAGGCTGTGTCTAGACTACATGCCTCTGTCGGCAGAGGCATGTAGATTAGACAGATCAGCAAAGGCAAATGACGACATCAAAGCCCTTTGTCGGCAGCCCTGTTATTCCTCGTGGAATGAGGTTTTTGATGTCGACAGGGGGAACGTCCAGACTAGCTGATCAGCTGTTTGTCGGCTCAGCGCGGCAGCCATGTAAATGTAAATGAAGCCGCGATCATTTAAATCGCGGCTTCATTTGCCTTTGCTGAACAAACAAATCTACATGCCTCTGCCGACAGAGGCATGTAGTTTAGACGTTCCCTGAGAGTCTCAGTTGCTCTGTTGTGTGCAGGACAGGGCGATGATTTGGTTATGCATGGTGAGGTATTTTAATGATTGACAGTCTTTTTTTTCCTGGGGTTGCTTGGATTTTATAGCCCTATGCGGCTTGCTGACTTGACACGCCTGTGTGAGCCACTCCTGAGGCAAAGTAGCTCTGCTCTACTGCAAGTGGACTTGACGCTTACTAAAGATGGCATGGAGTGGCTTTGCTACAAATAACCTACCTGGCATCCTTCTCTTTGCCTGTGCAGGAGGGAGACTCACTGGGGGCCATGGAGAAGCTCTGCAGGCAGCTGACCTATCACCTCAGCCCCCATTCGCAGTGGAAACGCCAAGGGATCATGAAGAGGAAGCCTCAGTCCTGGTGAGTCAGCTTATTTGACAGCTTACTCTCCCGCTCCCCGCCGGGTGCTTCTAGGCATTTTGGTGTCGCTTCTAGGTCAGAGTGGAAGGAAATTGCTTCTGCAGCGGTGATCAGTCCGTGAGATGGTCACTGTAAAAAGCCGCTGGAACAGAGATTTGTTTCCTCAGAATCAAAAGTATTCATCATCTCCGCCACATTTCCTGTGCTCCTGGCACTACTGATCTGTCTGAGCCCGTGTCTGGGTGTTGACTCGCCCACCCCTTTAGGCACAGGCTTTAGGGTTCCTGTACTTGGGGGTATCTTTAACTTCTGGGAAATGCAGTGCTTTGGTCAGTGGGCTCTGCAGGACACAGCCAAACTCTCTCCCTCGCAAATGACGACAGTCCCCCTTGGTTACAGACCAGGGGCTTGATTCTGTGGGGCACAGTTATGGAGTGTTGCGCCTGTAAACCCTGGGTAAACAGTGAGGAACAGATGAACTCATGGGAACCTGACCCTGCACTCAGGGGTGTGTTGGCCACTAGACACTAGAATGAGAGTGAGACCTAAGTGGGGCGCATAGGAATAAGAGCCTTGTTAACATGATGAGCATTATGCTGACTCAGGGTGACCAGACGTCCTGTTTTTAAAGGGACAGTCCCATATTTAAGCGTTCCTGCAGGTGTCTGTACTTTTTCTTAAAAACAAGCAAATTGTCCCGTATTTCTATCTCCCCCACATCAGTTCTGGTGGGTTCTGCTGCTGGCTGGGTTCCAGCTTACCACCTGCCCCAGTGGTGAGTGGGGGGTCCAGAGCCGACGATGGCGGTGGATGTGCATAGCTGGTGGGAGGGCAAAGCTGCAGCTCGTGGGGCCCACCGCTCCCCCGCTGGTCTATCAGCACAGCCTCTGCTGTGTGCCAGCTGTCGGCCGCAGGGCCCTTGGCCCGTTTCTGGCTGGTACCGACTGCGCGCTGCGAGCAGCGGTGGTTTGTGAGTGTGAGCAGATGCCAGATGACTGGTGACTTGTTGCCTCTACTACCCACCCATTGGTCCTTTCCATGCTCCTTCTCATGGTGTCTTCTCCTGCTATGCCCCCATCCCAACTGCTCCTCCGTGTCTCTTCCCATGTGTTGCCTCAGGAAGACGGGCTCCAGGTGGGTCTGTCCTGGGAACCCGTTCAGACAAGGAGGATGGAGAGCGCCGCCGGGGGGGCCAGATGCAGTCCAGCTACGCAGTTCCATGGGCTCAGTCAGCTGGATGTTAACTGGAACATTTGTACTGCTCCTTTCTGATTGATTGCCACTGGACTCACTTGAGCGCAAGTCATTTTAACATATTCAACATAAGGAAATATAGTCGCCTCATACTGACTCAGATGTCCCACAACGTACCCATAAATGTGCCTCTGCACTTGTTTTACCCAAAGTATTTGTGAGCAGGGAGCACAAGAGTCATGAGAGTTTCACCCAACTCCATGCAGCAGTCTGCCTAGCGTTTACCCTCCCCTGTCATCACTATCTCTTGGCTGGGCGTTGCTCACTGGGATGATACCTGCTCTCAACTGTCCTTGGAGAATTCACTGTGTCTGCTGCAATACACCTGTTTGTGTGCCCTGGTTCACATTCCGCAGGGACTTGGGGGAGTGCAGGTTTAATGGTGGTGATACCGATGTGTACTTTCACCTTTGCAAAGTTGGACAGACCTCCTGGGACTTCCATCTGCCGGGCCAGCCAGTGTAACATATCTGAATTGATCAGCTGCACTGGGGATTTAGCAAGAAGGGCTTTCAGGTGGGAGTTTCAAAAGCTAGAAAGAGATTTAAGTACCCAGCTCCTAGTGAAAGCTTAATGGGAACTGGTGCTTAATTCTTGGAAAATCTCACTCTTATTAAATCAGAGTTTGCAGACGAGGGTGACACCCTCTCTCTTTCTAAGCCCTTCCCCCTGCTCCATTTATACTGATTGTCAGGGGAGGCTACAGGAAACTTCCACGGATGGAAAAATCCTTAGCTGACAACTGATGTTTACACCATCAGTGTAATGGGATGTTCAGAGACTCCACCAATGAATTTGTCCAGGCAGTCCCAGTGTACAATTGCAGTGACTGGGTTGTTATGAGACATCTTGGCTTTGTGATGGTCTGCAGAAAGGGGATAAAAATGGCTCAACGGAAAGGGTGGAAAACATCTAATTACCTCCTAACCTCCTCAAAATACCAGCCTCATGGCTAATAAAACTTAGAAGACAACAAATGGTCCTGCAGCACCTTACAGACGTAGATAACATGCCTTTTGTGGGCGCAACCCTCAATCCAGTCATCTGAAGAATATGGACTTGAACCAAACCTGAAATTCGGCTGGTCCCAGAGAAGTCCGCGCTGGATAGGAATGCCAGGCAGAAATGCCCATGTTTAAATTATTCAGGCACCAAAACAGTGTTTGGGGGTGTGACGCAGTGGGGGGGGCTGTTTGCTCTGTAACCCAGGGTTCCCCCATGCTGTGTTGTGAGATTCCCACTGACTCACCCACATGTGGATTGGCCCAGACACCTAGTCCCAGCCTGAGCCAATAACAAGGGGGAGAGACAAAGGAAGGGAGGCAGAAACAGCCACCTGGCTGGGGGGCAGGGCCTGGGAACTGGGCAGTTTTTTGGCTGGAAAACCATAAAAAGAACAGACTAAGCAGAGTGCTGGGAGTTGAGGGGCCTAGGCACCCCTGCCCCAAGGGGTCTAGAGCTACCAGCCCCTGACTCCTTGGGTGTGTCTAAACTACATGCCTCCGTCGACGGAGGCATGTAGATTAGCCAGATCGGCAGAGGGGAATGAAGCCCCGACTAAA